TACCTGACTGGTGTCACATGCTACCTGACTGGTGTCACATGCTACCTGACTGGTGTCACATGCTACCTGACTGGCTTTTACATGACATCACCGCCTACAGTCGGGGAGGGGAAAGGGGGCTCCTGACTAAGAATACAGTCAGTTTGGCCAGATTCAGCCTTGGCACCACTTGGCACCACTTGGCACCATGTTCTCAGCATACCGGTTTATCATAAATGTTAACGCAGAAGAGTTTTAACACTGGTACGTGTGTCTGTGTGCCTGTATCTTCCAGCCTGGGCAGGACTTCCACGCTGACCTGTACCCGGACACTGTAGGCCAGACGGCGGCTATGACGGCTACAGAATGGTGGGAAGGTGGCAGCACACCGGTGAGGAATCACCAGATTTACACTCACATTGGTTTATTTATTTAGAGGGCGCTTTGGTTCAAAGCGGCGTACTAGCGAGGTGCACAGTACACACAGTACACCACCAGCAAACAGCTGTCGAGCGTCCGACTTTGATAATCAGTCATGTACAGTTACGTCGTGACGAGTGTTATGGTTAGCAGGGAAGACAAAGAGCTTAGCCTTTGAAAGGGTTCACTCGGCAGACTGAAATCCAAGCCAAAACTCTGGTATCCTCTTGAGAGAATGCTAGGTGGAATTGAATTTCTTCTGCATAGTAGTGCCAGTGGAAGCCATATGACTGGCTGAAGAGACCTAGAGAGGTAGTGCACAGGGAAAAGTGGTGGGACCCAGAACCAAACCCTGAGGCACACCAGTTGTGAACTGGGTTGACCTTGAATGCTCTGCTCCTGATGATACTTGGAAGGATCTGCCCACTTGGTAAGACTCAAACCATCTCAGCAACCTGTGGTGCCCAGTTGAGAGGGTGGACATGAGGATCTGGTTGTTCATCATGTCAAAGGGTACGGATTGGTCCATCGGGATGCAGCTTGCGCTGGAAACTCATTTAGCCTTACAGCAACGTCCACACAGTTACTGACAGTACAACGACAAGGACTTCTTACCCCGGTATCTCCCAGGTCCAGAGGGTCAGCCTGCACCCGGCCAAGCGGCCACAGCCCAGGGCCCAGCCAGCCCAGCAGGGGGCGCCCAAGACAGCGCTGCCCCGGGGACGGAGCAGTGAGGTGAGTGACATGGGAAACAGCGCAAATCCACCAATGGGAAGGATGGGATTCATGTGACTCTGAGTGTGGGCGCTGCATTCGCCCTGTGGCTCAGCAAAGACTCTGGTCCAATACAAGTGAAATCGCCTTACTTACAGCTAGATATTTTACCTATGAAATGTGGGTTACTGTACAACACTGAGTGTGCCTGTCTTGCCTGTCCGGTCATGTTTTGGCTGATATTGGTTGTTTGCTTGTGTGGTGAAACCAATAAAACCCAACATATTTCCTCTCTCGGTTGCCCACCACCCTCAACCCCCTGACCCCACCGACAGGAAGCCCCTCCCGGCTGTTCCACCTCCAGCAGCCCCTTGACCACACCCACCAGCAGTGCCGCACCCTCCCGTTCCCCTTCTTCCACCAGCGGCCTGTCCTCGGGATTCCTGCCCAGCCCAAGCCAAAGCTCACGGGCCATACAAAACATGCTGGGTAGGGCGCCATCTCAGGCTGCCACAAGGAGGCGACATTGTTAACATTGTTATAAGGAGGGTACAGGGCACTTCAGTTTTATTCCACACTTGTCCCTCTTTCATACTCTCTCTCTGTCTCTCTCTCTCTTTTTCTTCCTCTGTACCCCGCTCCCTCCTTCCCTCTCCTCCTCTTCCTTCACCCCTAACGCCCCCCCCCCCCATGCTAGGCCCCAGCTCGAAATTCCGCCACATCCAGGGCAGCGTCCTGCACCGTGACACCCACATCACCAACGTGCGGGGGCTCAACCTGACCACGCCCGGCGAGTCAGACGGCTTCTGCGCCAACCGGCAGCGGGTGGCCGTGCCCCTGGCCATCGCGGGGGGGCAGATCGCCGTGTTTGAGGTGCTGCCCGGCTCTGTGGGGAGGGAGGGGGTATAAAACTCATAAAAAAAAAATAACATTATGTCTGTCTAAGTATGTTAGGTTAGCCAATTCAAAACATTTCCTAAAGTCACCCCAGTATTTGCAACAAGCATCCAGTACACTCATGTATTTTGTGACATGACCACTGCCCATATTATTTGGACATCATGAAGTGAACTTGGTACACTCAGTCAGCCACACTGCCCTCATGACCATCTGGCCATGTATAATTATCCTAAACCTGTAGTCATATATTGGTGACTCACAGCATTGCTGTCTCCCATTCAGCTCTCTCGGCCTGGGAAACTTCCGGACACCACCTTGCCCACCATCCAGAACACGGTCAATGTGGCAGACCTGGCCTGGGACCCCTTCGACCCGCAGAGGCTGGCCGTGGGTAAGCATCTGGCCGGTGTCTCATCCTGGTCAGTCCACCATTGACACCCCTCACTTGTACTTGTCTGTTCGTCCATTTATTCTCTCTCTGCCCATTCTCTCTCCCAGCGGGTGACGATGCCAAGATCCGCATCTGGCGGGTGCCAGCGGGCGGCCTCACTGAGACGCTGACGGAGCCAGAGTGTGTCCTGCAGGGTAAGTTTGGATGACCCCGAGAAGGGGAGGGTCTCCATGTGGTGCTGGGCGTATGAGGCAGGCTGACTGGGGTCCCACCCTGCAGGGCACACGGAGAAGATCTACTCCATCAGCTTCCACCCCCAGGCTGTGGGCCTGCTGACGTCCTCCTCGTACGACATGACCGTGCGCCTCTGGGACCTGCAGGCTGGGAAGGAAGTGAAGCTCTTGAAGGGGCACCAGGACCAGGTGAGGCTTCAGGGTGGGTGGAGAAATGGAAGGCTCCTGGGGGGCTGTGGGAGAGGAAGGGGACAGGGATTGGAGGCGATAGGTGGACAGTGGGTGGATGGTAGTGATAGCCAAATGAAGCTTCATGAACCATTTGCTGTATATTTTGCCCCACTAGATGGTGCTCTTTGTTTGTTTTGGGGTATGCTTTGAGCCCTTTTTTAACAGAGAGAGCCATCGAGTGGGGTCAGAAAATACAGCAAGCTATTCATGAGGCTTCATTTGGCCATCACTAATGGATGGAAGGCAAAGGAAAGTGTGTAGCGCCTGGACCACATGCGAGGCTAGAGGTGTAAGCGCCAAAGGAGACCCACGCGGCATGATAACTGGTTATGAGTTTGTTCTACAGATTTTTGGGATGGCCTGGAGCCCAGACGGCTGCCTCCTGGCCACGGTCTGCAAAGATGGGAAGGTGCGAGTGTATGATCCGCGCAAGTCTGCTGAGCCCGTCAAGGTATCTGCGGTCGACAATCTCCACAGCCAGTGACTCAGGCTTACCGCGGTCCTCAGGGTGGTCACTGGCCTCTCTCACCTCCTCACAGGATGGCCCTGGCCCAGAGGGCCCCCGGGGAGGCCGTGTGGTGTGGGTGTGCGGGGGCCAGTATCTGCTGGTGTCTGGGTTTGACGGGTAAGCACTACATGACTCTGCTAGTAATGTTCCAGTAATGTTCCCTGATAACCTGCCACTGACAGGAGTGCTTTAAGGCACGGGCTTACCCAGGCTACAGTGCAGGGGCCTCAGCTAACCTGGTTTAATACCCCCCCACACTTTCGTCAGCAACTACACCATCATGGAAAATAGTGGGGGGGCTTTGCCTTTGTTCATGTGCCCCTGACCTCTGATGGCAGATTACAGTCAAACCTCGTATTGCGAGTAACTTGGTTTGCGAGTGTTTTGCAAGACGAGCAAAAATTTTAAATAAATTTGGAACTTGATAAACGAGCGAGGTCTTGCAATACGAGTATTACATATATGCTTTGTCTGCTGAGTGTCACGTGATCACAGCTGAGCCAAAGGTTCTTCTCTCACGCTGCAGGATTGTGGGTAACCGTCTCCCATGCTAGGTCTCAGTCGGCGTGTCTCACTCGTATAGTCAAAGTTTATTAGAAAAGCACCACCCAAATAAGGGCGTAGCAGTCCAAGCGATGAATCTGTTTAACGACAATGCAATGTCCACATTTCCGCAAAATCGAAAAGGAGGCAGAAGCGGCTGTCATAGAATAGGTTCCTTGTTAAAGTCGCACAAAAAGAAAATGATTCCAGTGAGGCAACAGATAGCAGTGATTCTGTTATAGTGAAAGTCGTCCTACAAAATAACCCTCCTCTTCTCCTCTCTCTTGTCTCCCTCACACCATCCACGATTCTTTTCAAAGGTAAAGTGCAGCTTAATTTGTTTTATGTATTTTTACTTTATATTTTGTATTAATCATTTTTATATTAATATTTCTGGGTTGTGGAACGAATCATCTGAGTTTCCATTATTTCTAATGGGAAAATTTGCTTTGATATACGTGTGCTTTGGATTACGAGCACGTTTCCGGAACAAATTATGCTCGCAGTCCAAGGTTTTACTGTATTTTACAGCCAGTGGCAAATGTTAGATGACTTTGTATTGGCTCAGTGCTAATGTCCCACAATGCCGTGCATGCTCCAATGCCCTGTCCACTCCCTTTGTGTCCCCTGTAGCCGCAGTGAGAGACAGCTTTACATGTACTCCGCCCAGTCCCCGTCCTCGGGTCCCGTGGCCACAGCATCCACCGATGTGTCACCCTCCACGCTAATTCCGTTCTATGATGCAGACACCAGCGTGCTCATCATCACTGGGAAGGTACGGCACGGGCAGCTTTGGGTGCCGGGGGCGGGGGGGGGGGACGAGGGCTCCAGCGACCATGTGTATGTCTTTCAGGGCGACACTCGCGTCTACATCTACGAGATCCTGTCAGAGCCTCCGTATTTCCTCGAGTGTAGCAGCTTCAGTTCTACGGAGCCTCACAAGGTACACCTCTGCTGATCCCGCCCCCACACGCAAAGCGGGCGGTCGGGGCCAAGGGGGCGTCAGCGTGATGGCTGCTTGCATCCCGTCTCCAGGGCTTCTCATTCCTGCCCAAGACTGAGTGTGAGGTTCGCAGCGTCGAGATCGCCCGGGCACTGAAGCTCAGCAAGACCAGCATCGAACCCGTAGCTTTCAAGGTGCCCCGTGTCAAGGTAATTGTCGCCGCCTCCCTGCTGGACATACTGATAAAAGGCGACTTTTTTCCATATTACTAAGTGCTTTATGACAGCTTTTCATGAAGAGCTCCAAATGCATAAGCACCTGCTTCCTTGGGTCCTCGTGCTCCTCATGGGACACAGATGCATGTTGCCAGGTGAGTGCAGTGGTGAGTCTGTGCATGGGACTCACCGGGTCTGTCTGCCGTCTCGAACCCCACAGAAAGAGTTCTTCCAGGACGACCTCTTCCCAGAGACGGCAGTTTGGTGGGAGTCAACATTGACGGCCTCTTCTTGGCTATCAGGGTCCAACGGACAGCACCGCAAGATCGGTCTACGTCCCAAAGACATGATCCCTGGTGCGGCCCAAAAGCTTAAATGGGGACTTGAACAAACATCTCTATCTGTAGCCATTGTGCTGCGTCTTTGCCATACCCATGTTTATTTAGTCTAAAAAGTCCAAGATTGTACTATAACATTCTTTTATGTGTACCTTTGATCTTCCTGTACCCATGTCCCCCTCTGTTCCTGTACCCGTCTCCCTGCTGTTCCTGTACCCGTCTCCCTGCTGTTCCTGTACCCGTCTCACCTTTTTATCTGCTTGTTCCTG